TGAGCCAATAATTATCTTATTATTTGTCGTTTTGTGTTGAATTTCCTTTATATATTACTGGAAGTATCCTAAGTGGTAGAGCTTTCTTTTTCAATTGGTAAGCTAGCTGTTGTTTAGGGGAAAGCCCTGTAGATTCCAACTTTACACCTCTATACTCAGTTCTTCCTTCTTGACTAAACTACTCATGGCAGTTGCACAATGCTTTGAAATTGAGCCTTGTTTATCCATTAATTACATTCGAGGAGTGTGTTTGTTATCATTCTCCAGACTTGCTTACAAATGAGGTCATTCCCTCAGGGGTGTTGTGATCTTCTGGGATTTCCAAAGCATGGTGTTTTTTCTTAAGGGAAAATGATGTTATTGAGCCTGCCAAGATTTTCTCACCTTCAATATCGTTTACAAATATTTCCATTTCTTAATTCATTGACCATCACATTAAAAAAATTAATATGTCTTACAATAAGAAAAATATACATTTTAAAAGAAGTAAACAAAAATTAAACACAATGGGATGTTTTCCATGTCAACTCCTTGCAATACAGACGCCTGACTGATCCTCTATCAGTGCTGTTCGATAGAAATTTCTTTCAAGGTGGAAATATTTTATATCTACACTATGCAAAATTGAAGTCACTAGCCACATATAGCTATGAGCACTTAAAATGTGACTAGTGTAACTGAGGAACTGAATCTTTAATGTTACTTAATCTTAATTAACATAATAAATTAACATATGTTTAAATTCCAATAGCCACATGTGGTTAGTATGGCTATGACTAGTGCTACCATATTAGACAACACAGCAGAAGATCAACCCTAGAATATTGCAGGGTTAAATAAGAGAAGTGTCAAATGAATGCTTTAGCTCAACAGGTGTACTTCTACATTTTTTTTTTTTTTTGAGACAGCGTTTCACTCTTGTCTCCCAGGCTGAAGTGCAGTGGCATGATCTTGGCTCACTGCAACCTCTGCCTCCCGGGTTCAAGCTATCCTTCTGCCTCAGCCTCCCAAGTAGCTGGGATTATAGGCATCCACCACCACGCCCAGCCAATTTTTGTATTTTTTGGTAGAGATGGAGTTTCATCATGTTGGCCAGGATGGTCTCAATCTCTTGACCTCGTGATCCGCCAGCCTCAGCCTCCCAAAGTGCTGGGATTACAGGTATGAGCCACCAGCCACCACGCCTGGCCACTTTTACAGTTTTTTCTTATTCTTGAAATGTTTTTCAATGTATAATTAACAAGCTTTTTTTTTTTTTTAAAGAGACAGTGTCTCACTATGTTGCCTAGGCTGGAGTTGAACTACTGGGCTCAAGTGATCCTCCCATCTCAACCTCCTGAGTAGCTGGGACTACAGTTGAGAGGCACTCTTAGCTTATTTTATAAGATTTTATTCACTTAAATCAAATTGAGACTACTGGATTACTGTGTGGGCTCCTCTCTCTTGTTCACCTATCACAGCTGTCTGGTCACCAAGTCCTATTCATCTGACATCTTAAATACATCTTAAAGATATCCCCTCCTTTCCATCTTCATCACCATTGTTTACTATTTGACCTTTATTATTGCTTCCTAATATTCCTCTTGCTTCTTTCCATTTCACTTCCTATCTCCTAATAGAATGACTCACTTAAAAAACAATCTCACCATAACACTTCCTTGCTGTAGAATACACTTCCCCTACTCAAATATGGCCCACAACCAGCAGGACAGGCATCAGTTGGAGCTGATGAGAAATGCAGAATCTCAGCCTCCACCTCAACTAACTGGATCAGAATCTGCATTTTAACAAGTTCTACAAAGGTGATTAATATGCAGATCCAAGATGCACTGTTGCAGGATGAAGTACAGACTCCTTAGCATATCTTCAAGGGTCTACATGATTTGGTCAAGCTCAGTTTCCAGCCTCATCTCTAGTAACTTCTTCTGAACCTCTTAAAACCTACACTTCAAGTCATACAAAATAATTAGCAATTATGTATATCCATCTTTGTTCCTCTGTCAAAATAACTCCTTTTTCCAGGTCAAGACCCAACTGAAAATTTTCTTTCTATATTTCTTCATAAGAATTAGATATATCCTCTTTGTACTCCACAGACTTTTACAGATACTACTCTTACAGCACATACCATGATAGATTTAAGTATTGGTGTGTCTCTTTTTGAGGGCAGGCATTATTTCTTATATAGCTGTGTTCTCATTAGTTCTCAGTACATGCTTGCTGGATGAATAATATCTTTCATAAGTACACATTAAATAATTGTAGTATTTCATAGAATCATTACATTTGAAAGGAATAAAAAATCTTATTGGGCCAGACACAGTGGCTTACGCTTATAATCTCAGCACTTTGGGAGGCCAAGGCAGGCAGATCAGGAAGTCAGGAGATTGAGACCATCCTGGCCAACGTGGTGAAATCCAGTCTCTACCAAAAATGCAAAAATTAGCTGGGTGCAGTGGCGGTGTGTGCCTGTAATCCCAGCTACTCGGGAGGCTGAGGCATGAGAAGCACTTGAACCCAAGAGGCGGAGGTTGCAGTGAGCCAAGGTCACACCACTGCACTCCAGACTGGCGACAGAGTGAGACTCCGTCTTGAAAAACAAACAAACAACTTACTGATCGCTTTATAGAGGATTTTTATTTTACAAGGGACAACTGAAGCCTTCAAATTTGAATGACTTTTCCAAAATTATTGGCATGGTAACATTTTCTTGATATATACTAGGCACCCCATAAAATATGCAGCTAATAAACATGATAAACTTACTTTTCTTTCTTTTGTATTGGGATGAACTAAATTTCTCTCCACTAGTAAGATAAAGACTCTAATAAAGTTTGGTTATTCTTGATTTCTCCTGCTAATCCTTTCTTTTACCTTTCCCTTCTGGGAAATGACAGAGCCTTTTTCTATCTCCCTTTCACTTTAGTGTTATATGACGCTAATCAGAGAGATAGTGAAGTAATTAGGGATGCAGTACCAACAGTATACAGCTGATAGTAAGCTGTGCATCTCCTTTCATCAGATCTAGGATGAGGTTTCTTGAATTTCACAGTGTCTGGCAGAGTAAAGGACACTGAGAAAAGCAGTTGGATCAGGCACTATCTAGATAAGATTAAATCAATCCTTGTAGGCACAGGAAGACATTTGAAGTGTACAGCTGCCAGTAACATTGTGGAAAATAAACCCACCTTTTGTTTCAGAAAGCTGCAATTTTATAGGAAATCTTGGATTGCAGTTTTTTCCTAATTTGCCAGATTTTGCCCCAGACTTCTACAGTCACTTCCTATATGCATTTAAATAAACAGTGATTACTTTTTCTTCCTGTTGGGAAGCTTGCTATGACTTTATCTTCTGGCACTGGGTATCAGGCCAATGTTGATTTCTTCTATATCAGTTATAATGTTTGTCTTACAAATCCCTGGGTAGTTTGACCCTTTGTTTTGCTATGAATCTTTATTAGAATTGGTATTCCTATTATTAATAGTTATTTCTGAATTACAGCTGAGTCAAAATCTTTTTCTGGGGAGAATATAACCTAATCAGAGTGCTTTATTCTTTTATAGTGGGGAATTCAGTAACTTAATTTCAACCAACATTTATTAAATGGCTACATGTAGTATTACAATTACAGGATGGTCATAACATACACCTTTGCTTTAGGAACATATTTTTTAGATTTTAAAGATTTTCTATACCCATTACATATTACACATCTGAGTCTAATTCACGTCATGCTAAATTTAGCAACACTGTAATGTGAAGTACAAACTGGGATACTGTGTGGAGTGAAAGAAGTTGTAATTAATAATCATACCTGATCAACAGGTTAAATAAAGACTGTCTTGGGAAAACTGAGATAGTGTCAGACAAAGTGGAACATATGGTCACCTTAATTAAAAATCAGCTTCTGCTATACTTGTATTTTCACATTTTAAGTATGATAGTTATTAGAAAGCATATTGGGCTAAATATAACTACTTTATGATGTCTATTATATGTCAGTCACTACAATAAAAGTGTGCTCAGATTTTAGTCAGGGAAACAAAATATATGTATACAATCATATGAGGCAAATGCATATAGTGGAGTGAATACTGGACAGGGAACCAGGAGACCTAGATTTGAAAACTAGCCTTGAACTTCAGTCACTTCTTTTGGTCACATCTTTTAACCTCTCTGAGGCTCAGTTTTCTTGCCTGTAAAATGGAATGATACTAATTTTTCATAGGATGAGAAGTTTAAAAAACAAGTGAAAGAACTAAACACAGTATGTGTCAAATAATGAATGCTTGATAAAGGGTTATCTGATTTGGCTGATGTTCTAGTTTAATGAAAGGGAACCAGAAAGGAAGCTAGAAGACTCACCCTCTTTGTGAAAACTTTTATAATGCAGATATTTTTTCTTATCCTCCATTGCCAATCCTGTTAAGTCATATTATTGTGAAGCAAATCTCAGACATCACATCATTTCGACTGGAAGTATCTCAGTGTTTATCACTAAGAATTTCTTATTTTTAATATCATCACAATACCTTTATTATCCTAAAACTAACAATAATTCCCCACTATCCTCGAATACCCACTGTCCAAATTTCCAACTCTTTTATAAAAGTTTTTTCTAGTCTTTTAAAAAAATTCAGAGTCCTTAGACCAGGCACAGTGGGAGGCCGAGGCAGGGGAATCACTTGAGACCAGGCGTTAAAGATTGGCCTGGGCAACACAGTGAAACCCTGTCTCTGCAAAAAATATTTTTAAAAAATATAGCCAGGCGTGGTGATAATTGCTTGTGGTCCTAGCTACTCAGGAGCCTAAGGCAAAGAGGACCATTTGAGCCAAGGTCCTCAAGTGATGCAGCTACACCAAGTGATGCAGTGAGCTATGACTGTGCCACTGCACTCCAGCTTGGATGACATAGGAAGACCTTGTTTCTAAAAAAAGAAAAGAAAGAAAGCAAAAGAAAAAGAATTCAGGTTCCAAATGAAATTTCGTGAATTACTCACACTTGGTTGATGTCTTTTAGTCTTGTTTAAACTATATATCCCCCTTGCAATATGTTTACTGAAAAAACTGGGTTTTGTCATGTAGAATGTTCTCAAGTGTTCCACAGACTACAATCTTTTGGTGCAGTTTACTATGTTCCTCTGTCTCCATTATTTCCTGTAAATTGATAGGTGAAACTAGAAGATGTTAAATTTCAGATGATTTTGTTTTGGTTTTTAGCAAGACAGCTTCACAGGTGGTGGCGTGTTCCTCTATCAGGAAGCACAGGAAGCATACAATATCTCATTGACTATTTTCTTTGATATTAACAGCTGTTGTTGTTTAATTAGTATTTAATATCTACATCTATTTGTTCATTAGAAGTTTTAAATTTATTTCTGATATCATAAAGTTCACTTTTATTTACTTCTGTAAGCAGCATTGTAATTAAGATAAAGATGTGTGAAAGGCTTATCCACCACAATCAAGTAGGCTTCATCCTTGAGATGCAAGGTTGGTTCAACACAGTGCAATTCAATAAATGTGATTAATCACATAAACAGAACTAAAGACAAAAACCACATGATTATTTCAATAGATGCAGAAAAGGCTTTTGGTAAAATTCAACACACTTTTGTGTTAAAAACTCTCAATCAACTAGGTATTGAAGGAACATACCTCAAAGTAGTAAGAATCATCTATGACAAACCCACTGCCAACATCATACTGAACAGGCAAAAGCTGGAAACATTCCCCTTGAAAACTGGCACAAGACAAGACCACTCCTATTCAACATACTATTGGAAGTCCTGGCCAGGGCAGTCAGGCAAGAAAAAGAAATAAAGCGTGGAAGAGAGAAAGTCAGACTATCCCTTTTTGCAGATGACATGATCCTATATCAAGAAAACCCCATACTCTTGGCCCAAAAGCTCCTTAAACTGGTAACTTCAGCAAAGTCTCAGAATACAGAAACCAATGTACAAAAATTACTAGCATTCCTATACACCACCAACAGTCTCATTCACAATTGTCACAGAAAGAATGAAATATCTAGGAATACAGCTAACCAGGGAGGTGAAATATCTCTACAAAGTGAACTACAAAACACTGCTAAAAGAAATCAGAGATGATACTAACAAATGGGAAAACATTCCACGCTCATGGATAGGAAGAATCAGTATTGTTAAAATGGCCATACTGCCCAAGGCAGTTTAGATTCAATGCTATTCCTATTAAACTACCAATAACATTCTTCACAGAACTAAAAACAACAACAACAACAACAACAACAAAAAATCCAAACTATTTTAAAATCCATATGGAACCAAAAAAGAGCCCAACTAGCCAAGGCAATCCTAAGCAAAAAGAACAAAGCTGGAGGCAAAACACTACACCCACCTTTATACTATGGGGCTACAGTAACCAAAACGGCATAGTACTGGTACAAGAACAGACACATAGGCCTATGGAACAGAATAGAGAACCCAGAAATAAAGGCGCACATGTACCTGACAAAACCTGACAAAAACATGCAATGGGGAAAGGACTCTCTATTCAATAAATGGTGCTGGGATAACTGGCTAGCCATATGCAGAAGATTGACACTGGATCCCTTCCTTATGCCATATGCAAAAATTAATTCAAGATGTATTAAAGACTTAAATGTAAAACTCAAAACTATAAAAACCCTAGAACACAACCTAGGGAATACCATTGTGCACATAGGAATGGGCAAAGATTTCATGACGAAGATGCCAAAAGCAATAGCAACAAAAGCAAAAATCGACAAATGGGATCTGATTAAACTAAAGAGCTTCTTCACAGCAAAAGAAACTATCAACAGAGTGAAAAGACAACCTATAGAATAGGAGAAAAATTTTGCAGACTATACATCTTACAAAAGTCTAATATCCAACATCTATAAGGAACTTTAACAAATTTATTAAAAACAAAACCCAAAGTACCCCATTAAAAAGTGGGCAGAGGACATGAACAGACATTTCTCAAAAAGAGACATACATGTGGCTAACAATCACATGAAAAAAAGCTCAATGTCACTGATCATTAGAGAAATGCAAATCAAAACCACAATAAGATGCCATCACACACCAGTCAGGATGACTGTCATTAAAAAGTCAAAAAATAGCAGATGCTGCTGAAGTTGCTGAGAAAAAGAAACGTTTATACACTGTTGGTGGAGTGTAAATTAGTTCCATCATTGTGGAAGACAGCATGACAATTCCTCAAAGACCTAAAAACAGAAATACTGTTTGATCCAGCAATCCCATTACTGGGTATATACTGAAAGGAATAGAAATTGCTTTGTCATAATGACATGGAATCAACCCAAATGCTCACCAATAGTAGACTGGATAAAAAAAAAAAAAAAGTGGTACATATACATCATGAAATACTATGTAGCCAAGAAAAAGAAAGAGATTATGTCTTTTGCAGGAACATAGATGGAGCTGGGGGCCATTATTCTTAGGGAACTAACACTGGAACAGAAAACCAAATACCGCATGTTCTCACTTATAAGGGAACTAAATGATAAGAACACATGGACACATGCAGGGGAACAACATACACTGGAGCCTATTGAACAGTAGAGTGGCAGGAGGGAGAGGATCAGGAAAAATAACTAATGGATACTAGACTGAATACCTGGGTGACGAAACAATCTGTAAAACAAACCCGCATCACACAAGTTTACCTATGTAACGAACCTGCATTTCTACCTCAGAACTTAAATTAAAAAATAGGATGAAGATATAATTAAGAAAATAGTAACATCAGTTATGCTACGTCTCTACCTTTAATATAGTCCTATTTCACTTTACAGATGTGCTTACTGATTGCTAGGAGGGAAGCAAAAATAGAAATAACTTTATAATGCTATAAATGAAAGATGAAGGCTGGGTGTGGTGGCTCATGCCTGTAATTCCAGCACTTTTTGATGCCGAGGTGGGCGAATCGCTTAAGGTCAGGAGTTTGAGACCAGCCTGGTCAAAATGGTGAAACCCTGTCTGTACTAAAAATACAGAAATTAGCCGGGCATGGTGGTGGACACCTGTAATCCCAGCTACTTGGAAATCTGAGGTGGGCGACATAGCGGGACTCCGTCTCAAAGAAAAAAATATGATTATTATGTTCCCAAGCACTTTTAATAGAAGTAGTTCTATGGGTTTTATCACATAATGATAAATAACCTTCTACATTGCTAAATACACAAAAAGTAATTAACAATGCTTACCTACACTAACATCCATTAGGTTTTTCATTTCTTTTTGGCCTTGAATCCCAATAATTAAACTTTACTAGTCTCTAGCTTCTTTTCCAGGAAAAAACAATGTATGTTTCTCTCTGAGGTTGTGTTCTTTGGTCATCACTAATATAATATTATTTTCATTAAAATGAAATTATAGTCCTGACACCAATAGCCATATACTTTGAGTTGCTTCTGCAATAATGGTGATTAACTTTGGATGAACCAGTCATATTCTCTCACCCAATTCCTGATCAAGAAATATAAAATGTTGTCACCTGACAACTGGCAAAGATTAATAGTCAGCTGTGGCCACTGCACTGACTGACTCACTCAGGGATTTAAACCATGACCTTGGCCTCATTATCATGCTGTTTTAATCTACTGAGCAAAATAGCTACAAAAATAAATTCTGAAAGCAGGAAGCAAAACATTCTGTTGTTTGTGTCTCCAGGCCCAAACTACTATGTATCTGAGTCCACTGAACAATTCTACTAGTGGGCATTTTAGACATGGATGAACAACTGAAGGCAGGATATCCTCCTGAAAATCAAAGCTGATCATGTCAGTTCTCATTAAAAACCTCCACTGTCTAATAATATAAATTCAAATTCTTCAGTACAGCATATAAGATTGTAGCATAATCTTACTATGACCAATTTCTCCAACTTTATCTTTTGCTACAACTCCTTGCCTCCCTTTCTTCATGTGCTAACAACTGTAATTTTCTCATTATCATGCGACTGCTCATATATTTTTTCAGTTTATATTTATTGAGTCTCTATAATGTATGAGACACTCTGATAAACCCTGGGGAAACTGAAGTTAAAGGCACATTCCTTGATCTTAAAGAATTCATGGTTTGGTCAAGGAGACAGACAAGGAAATAAATGGGCACAACACACTGTGACAAGTGCTATCTATGAGCACAGTAGGTACATTGGTATAACAGTCTAGGGAAAGGAGGTGGAAGAAGAGGAGAGGGAGGGATGAGTATATGGTTAGGATAAAGAAGTTAATTAAGAAAGTTATGAGAGAGGAAGCAGAAAAAGTGATCTAAGCTGAGGGAACAGAAAGTCACAGAGATGAGAACATGCACACATTGAGTAAAGTGCAAGTAGATTATCATGGCTGAAAAGGAAGATGTGTTTGTAGGCTGTGTTGGAAGCAAGGCTAGAGAGGTAGACAGGAACTGAATCCTAAAGGAATATGTACACCTTGGCAAAGACTTTAGATCTTATTCACACTGCTTTTCCCTCTTTTGAGAATGCTTTTTCCCTTTTGTTTCCCAACTCAGACCAATATAATAATGTCAAATCCTCTTCCCAGAAATTCATTGAACAAATATTTGCTGGAATACATACTATGTGTCATGTATTGTTGTTTGGGATACATTAATAAAATTCATACTCTGCCCTTGTGCTTATATTCAAGTATGAGGAAGTAGATGATAAATATAATAAACGGGTATATATTTAACTTTGGGTAAAAATACAGTTGTCAGAGAGAGTGGTAAGTGCTGTGGGAAAAAGAAAAAGTAGGGTAAGGTAAAGAAGATCATCATAATGACCAGGAAGGGTGTGGGGCAAGTAGGAGTATTAAATAGGATGAACAATTGAGCAAAAATTTGAGGACAACGGATTTAGCCAAGTGAGTATCTTAGTGAAGGGTATTCTAGGAACAGGGAACAGCTTGAGGAAAGCCTAAAAAGTACTAGGAGATGGGGCCAGGTGCAGTGGCTCTCACCTGTGATCCCAGCACTTTGGGAGGCCAAGGCAGGTGGATCACAAAGTCAGGAGTTCAAGACCAGCCTGGGCAACATAGTGAAACCCCATTTCTACTAAAAATTCAAAAATTAGCTGGGCGTGGTGGCAGGCGTCTGTATCCCAGCTACTCGGGAGGCTGAGGCAGAGAATTGTTTGAACCTGAGAGGCGGAGGTTTCAGTGAGCCGAGATTGCACCACTGCACTCCAGCCTGGGTGACAGAACAAAACTCCGTCTTGAGAAAACACACACACACACACACACACACACACAAAGTACTAGGAGATGAAGTCAGTGATCATGTGGGACTTGTAAGCCATTTAAGGAACTCTTGTGAATAAAATGGGAGCCACCTTGGGATTTTGATCGGCAGAGTGTTTTGATCTAATGTTTTAGGAGGTTTCCTCTTTGTGCAGTGTTGAGACTATAGAGCTGCAAGCATAAAAGCAGGGAGACCTGTTATGAGAAACTATAGAAATGCCAACCATCTAAATATATTTGTATGCATTAAGGGGTGCTGCAATGATTCTGAACATTGTGAAACACCCAGCTTTTGTAGTGGAGTACTAGGTTCTTTCAGTAAATTCTAGTGAGGTAAGTATTTTAGTTTGTGACTTTAGATATACCTCCTAATACTTATTTACTAGATTACAAGTAGCCCTTATGCATGTGTAAAAATGAAAGTCTACAGAATCATAGGCTTCAAGGGCCTATAGGAACTGCAGAAAGGACTTGCAGTTTGTTTGCTTTTTATTTTATTTTTTGAGACAGAGTCTTGCTCTGTCACCTAGGCTGGAGTGCAGTGGCCTGATCTCCACACACTGCAACCTCTGCCTCCCAGGCTCAAGTGATTCTTCTGCCTCAACCTCCCAAGTTGCTGGGATTACAGGCATCTGTCACCAGGCCTGGCTAATTTTTGTATTTTTAGTAGAGACGTAGTTTTACCATATCAGTTAGGCTGGTCTCAAACTCCTGTCCTCATGTGATCCACCCTCTCGGCTTCCCAAAGTACTGGGATTCCAGGTGTGAGCCACCACGCCCAGCCTGTTTGTTTTTTATTTATATTTGTTTATTTTTTTGAGAGGGAGTCTCACACTGTCGCTCAGTCTGGAGTGCAATGGCACGATTTTGGCTTACCGCAACCTCTGCCTCCCAGGTTCAAGCGATTCTCCTGCCTCAGCCTCCCAGGTAGCTGAGATTACAGACGCCTGCCATCCTTCCTGGCTAATTTTTGTATTTTAGTAGAGATGGGATTTCACCATGTGGGTCAGGCTAGTCTCAAACTGCTGACCTCAGGTGATTCACCTGCCTTGGACTCCCAAAGTGCTGGGATTGCAGATGTGAGCCACTGTGCTGGCCAGCCTGTTTTTTAAGACAGGGTCTCACCCTGTCACTCAGGCTGAAGTGCAGTGGAGCAATCTTAGCTCACTGTATCCTTGAACTCCTAGGCTCAAGAGATCCTTTTGCCTTGGCCTTCCAGAGTACCGGGATTACTGGTGTAAACCACAGGGCCTGGCCAGGACATGCATTTTGGGATTAGTTTATAGCCTGTCAAGACCTTGAAAATTCAATGATGAAGACAGCTGTTACTTATAAAGTTACACAAGAATATTGCAGTTTTGACTCAACTTTAAATGTGTTCATACACTGAGGGACATGCCAAAGTAGAAGTTAATGCTGTAAAGGACAAAGTCATATGTGATGAAGATTTTAAGTAAAACACTGTACCAGAACAAACAAAACACCTCTAAGATCCATATTGTAGAAAGAACAAAAGACAGAGATCTTGTAAATACATTTTACTTTCTTTAGCTCTGATCCTAGCAATCTTATGTCAAACTGGGGCAAGTACTTTGAAAAGTAGTTCATTTATTATGCTAAAGCGAATTTTAAAATTCTATATAATGTATATTCTATGTAGTGATATATAACTACTGTTGACAAATTTTTATTTCATGCAAGTGTGTGAATAACAGTGAAGGATAATTTTAAAAGACTTCCTTCCACTCCTAAGTAGTCCCTTTAATAGGAAAAACACATCTAGTTGTGGTAAAAACTGTAAAAAGGAAACACATTAACAGTAACCTCACTCACTTCTGCTTCATTCCAGTAAGAAGTCAGATGTTCCAGTGATACTGGCTCATGCCCATTGTATTTCATGAGCTGGTACTGTCTCCTGGCAGGTGAGGCATGGGTGGGGGTGCAAGGAGACACAGCCTCAGGCACTCAGCATGCTAACCATATGACTGCTAGAAAACAGTGCAGGGCCCAGGGGGTGACCCTCTACTGTAAAGGAAGCCAAATTGTCTAATTTGTACCACAGCTTTGAAGTTCACATTTTATAGACTTAAAATAACTAAGCTATTTTAACTTCAAAAAGTTTAAACCTCTGAGAAGTGTGTATATTCTGGCTTCTGGTTCTGCTTGGGTTGATAGTTGCCTGGGGGTGGGAAGTGGTGTTTGTTTTTTCAAATCTGGCACAGAAATAGTTGAATAAGGTAGACTGTTCCAGCCATTCCTTTTGATTATTTTTAGTTCCACTCTCCTCTCTTTTAAAGGAGCAGTTAGTGTATTTTAGCAGCACTTAGGGTTTCCTAGGTGAAAGTCAAAGATACATGTATTTACTGGTACCTGTTACTGCGTATGAAAATATGGATAGTAAAAGTCAATTTCAATTTCGGGTGGAAAAATTCTGTTATCCATTAAGTGTTGTTTTTAGTTGTCACTTTTTTTTTCTTAGTTTGACACTTTTTTTTTTCCTTCTCCATTATCTATTTTGCAATGCAAATAGTATAGTTCTCAACATTTGCTATACCTTAGTCACTTGGGGAACTTTCAAACAATATCCACAGCCAGGGCCCTAACACCAGAGTCTGATTCATTTGTTATGTGGGTCTAGGTGGTATTTTAAAAAAGTGACCCAGTGAACCTTCAACTCAGATGACTGGCAAAAAAAAAAAAAAAAAAAAAAAAGTGATCCAGGTAATTTTAGTGTGCAGCTAGGGTTGAAAACCGGAATGGTTTCAAAGTGGATTAAAAATATCTAGGTTCTAGTTCCAGCCCTGCTACTTACCAGCTGGCTGTTCTTGGTGGTCTTCTGTTTCCCATAGGATGATGAGGTTGGATTAGAAATTCATAAAAATTGTTGAACTCTAAAACAAAATTAAATAAACTGGGATTCATATAATTTGATCTGATTTGCTCAGCTCCAAAGAGATGAAAATGGAATTATCTGGAGTATGAGAGTGTTGTTTGAAACAAGTGAGTAATAATTTAAAAAACAGCTCTTAAGTAAACTTTTCCCTCTTCCCAATTACAAGGCATGGGAGAAAATAAAAACAGACATTTAAGCTTAGAAATCACAGGAGACTTCCAGGGCTGCTTTGCCTATCCCCAGCTCTCTTAAATGGGGAGCTAGTCAGATGGTACCTGGGGAACAGAGGGAGGAGGGAGAGCGCTTACTACACACCAAGAAGGTAAATATAATATAAACCTCAAAGGCTTTACGTTACTCATCAGCACACAATCTGACCTGGTACTAAGCAGCGCGCGTGTGGAAGGCTGGGTGGGGTGCGCACACACATTCACCTGGGTACACACACACTGGCACACACATCCCAACTCAGTCACCTGCAGTGCTTGCCCAGGGCGCCCGGAAGAGCCAGCGAGCCTGCCTAGCTCTGTCCACCCAGCCCCGCGCCACCCGCCCGGCCCCGCTCCCTCCGGGAGGGCTCTCAGGGCGGCGCCCAGCCCCGCGAAGCGCAAAGGATGGTAGTGGCCACCTCCGTTCTCCAGACGCTGGTTTCTTGTCTTCCCTTTTTGTCCTCTTTCATTGAACCTATCTCCGTGCTACGAAAATCAAACTCTGACTCTAACCCGATCTCTTCGCGTCTCTGCCTCTTCTTTCTAGACTAGGGTGAGCGCCAAAAAGGGCCAGACAGACAGAAACCTTGGCCTCAGTACCGCCCAGCCTCTTTCTCGGGACTATTCTAACTCCTTTCACCCTCCTAGCCTTTACTGGTCGTGTCAGGTTCGAACCCTCCCAGCCAACCGTAACTCTCCCCGCTTCCCCCCGCGTCCTCCCCTCAGGATCCCTCTGCATATTCTCAGCGTCAAGCTCGGTTTTCCACAACTTCCTCAAGCCCTGCGCCCCTCGCCCTGTCCCCGCCCTTGACACCACCTGCGTTTCCCACTCGCTGCAACCTCTCTCCACCGCTGTCCCTCCTTGCGGGCCTCCAGCTCTCTCCCCCTTTCCTGGCTCCCACCCCTGACACCCTAGGGACCCTTCTCCCCTACTCACGTCCTCCCTCCTTCCAGGATCCCGCCCTGACACTTCGGGGGCCCTCCCACCACGGGCGCTCCATTTTTCTCCTCAGGGCCTGACACCTGGGCGACCCCTCCCCGGCACCCGCCTTCAGCTCCAGCCCTGACTCCACCCTCACGCTCCCCGCCCCTCCCGGTCCCTTGGAGGCCCTCACCTCCTCCCCACCAGCCACACCTGGCACCCCTGACCCCACCACGGCTCACACCCTTCTCTCCGCTCCCGACACCTCAGGCGCCCCCTCACACGCACGCATTCTCCACACTTCCGTCCCAGAAAACTCCGGCGCCCCCTCCCTTCAAGCTCAGTCTCCCCTCCCTCCCCGCCTGGCCCGGGTCCCAGCCCTGAGGTCGCGCTCGGGGAGGGGCGGCTGCCGCCTGCTGGGTGCCCCGGCCTAGGCAGTGAGGAGGTGACGCGGCCCCGCGGGAAGAGCCCGGGAGGCGGAGGGGCGGAGGAGGTGCGCGCGGCGGCACCGAGCGGCGGCGGCGCAGGGAGCACGGGCCCTCCGCGCCGACTCCATGGACCCAAGGGGCGGCGGCGGCGGCGGCTGAGCGACCCTAGGCAGGCGCGTGATGAGGAGGGGCCGGCGCCCGACCCTGCTGCACGCCGGAGCTCGCCTGGACCCGGGCGTTGGCACCCGATGGGCCCTGGCCCCGGGACTCTCCGCTGCTAGCCCCTGTCATTCCTTCTCCGCTTTTGCTTCTCTACTTTAGCTGGCGGGGTGGGTTGGGGTCTCCGGGGCGGTCTCCGGCCCCACGGCCCTCTTCCAGGCGTGCCGGGAGGAGTCCTCCCTCCGTGGCGCGCGGGAGCCCTGTGACGCGTCAGCCGGCGGGACGGCTGAGCTGCTTCTCTGGGAAGCCGTCCGCTTTTCCTCACGACCCTCTCCGTTCCCGCCTGGGTGCCTCTCGGGCCGGCGGTACTCTGGAGGCTAGAAGCGACTTCCCGGGGGGCTGGTTCGCAGGCACCCTTCCCCTCCGAGGCGGCTCGCGCGCTCCCGACCCCCGCCGCGGCCGGACACACTCGCGCCCCGGTCCGCCTGTCGCCCTCCCGCCTGCTCCCTCCAGTCACCCCACCCTTAGCTGTCCCCGCCACCTTACTCCACAACCCTCCCCCACCGCTTCGCTCACTCCGCGTCCCGGCCGCCCGCTCCCCTCTCCTTTGAACCGCTCACTTCACAGTCCTTCCGCCCCCGGGAAGAAGAAACATTTTCCGAAGCGCACTCCTCAGCCCTCCTTCCCCACGCGCTCGCCCTCCCCTCCCCCTGCTCTTTCTTGGGGGAGGGGGGCTGTCGCCTTGGATTGAAGGCCATTGATTTGTATGTATTTGTCCCAGCGCTGGAGGCTGCCCCAGTCGCCGCGCCGGTGCCGCCACTGCCACCGGAGTTGCCTCACCGCTTCCCTAGGGTGGTTCGGCTCCACCAAACATGTCGGCTCCTGTCGGGCCCCGGGGCCGCCTGGCTCCCACCCCAGCGGCCTCTCAGCCGCCTTTGCAACCCGAGATGCCTGACCTCAGCCACCTCACGGAGGAGGAGAGGAAAATCATCCTGGCCGTCATGGATAGACAGAAGAAAGAAGAGGAGAAGGAGCAGTCCGTACTCAAGTAAGGATCTGGCTCCATATTCCCGCCTCTCTCCCTGCCCTCCGCCCCCTCGGCCGCTGCCCTGCGGCCGCCTGCGCGCCCGGGATCGCCGCCCTGCCTCCCGCCGGCGTCTCCCAGGCCACGAGGGCTGCGGCCAACGCCGGCCGCCCGGGCTGTTTGCTGGGTGTCTAAGAGCAGGGGGTGTGTGTCGGGGAGGGAGGGCGCCGAGGCCGGCTGAGGTGAGGGTGGCGAGTCTTAGGGCGGTGTGATTTTCCCCGGCGCCTTTCCGGGTTTCCCCTCTGGTCAGCTTGGCTCTGGGGCCCCAGCGGGACTGGGGCTGAACCCAGGCTCTGCGCGTCCCCTCTCCTTTCCCGCCGCCTGAGCTCGGAGGCAGTGACTGGGGCACGGAATCCAATATGGCCGTGCACAGGTGCTCCCTGGCCGGACCCGGGCGAAGGCGCTCCGGCCGGGGATGCGGACGCCGCCGGGGACCCGTGGTTCCGTCTCCGCGGAGCCGCTCTGCTAGCAACGCGGGACACAGCAGGGCTGCCCACGGTGGTTGCGGGCAGCGGGCGGCGGCGTGGGCGAGGCGCCTAAGCTCTGTAGCGTCTCGGGTGGGTGTGCGGTCGCCGCCATCTTCCAGCCCCTCCCCCTTGGCGAGTGCTAACACCCTGCACTCTGCTGCTCTTCCTGTTTGCAACTAGTAAATCTGTTTAATCCTGAAGAGACTCCAGTTCCTATCATCACTACAGTTTGGGATGTTCCCTACCTTGTGAAGTTCTACTATTTGTGCTCACAGTCTTGGCAGCCCGGTTTTTTCCGAGGGTGGGAGGAGTGAAAACAGCACCCAGGCATCCGTTTACTGGCTCTGGAACTTCAGCACTAGGGAACTGTCCAGATAGGGTTATCTTTAGCTCTGAAACTCCTTTTCTGGTTAGTCTAGCGAAGAGATTTGTTTCTACAAGAGTTGCTTTTAAATGTTTTGTGGTTATTTGATTTCTCAGTTACTTCGTGAAAGAGGTTGTTTAGAAGACGTGTAACCTTTTTAATGTTTTCCCAGCTTGGATTTTTTCTTTTTACTTGAAATGAGTTACTCACTGAGAGATTAATTTACACAGTGTATATACCAAAGGTGGGATGTTCTTTTGCGTTTTGTCAAGTATATGTTTCTCATATTCTCCACAGAAATATACAAGTGAAAGTGTGAAGTTCCTCTATGAAGGAACTAATACACTCACCTCTACTTAGCTAAATTTTAAAAACATGTTGTTGAATTTAGTATTCTTTCATGTACTTACAAAGGAACAAGTTTCGTTGTCAATAGGTATATATTTTCATATTTTAATGAAAAATACTACTTTAAATAATTTATGGTAACAAACATCAAATATTCACAAATCTAAATATACTGTTGCTCACAAAATGTTGAGGGACTAAAACAGCAAATATGTTCCTGACATAATAACTGAAATTAATAGTTTCTACATGAAAGCTAATTATTTGGGAATGTTATTTATTGACAGCCTTGGGATGTGAAGAAATTAAGAGACTTAAGTAGCTTACTCCAACTAATAGGAGAATAAAGCATTATTTTTAGAAGCGTTTTTGGGCATGCTTCTTACTTTGCTTAACTTTATTTTGTATACTAACAATTCCAAGCTTTTGATGACTTGCAGTTTGATATTTAAATATATGAACTTATGCCTTTTAGTATAACTGAAAAAACTAAATGTCTCCAAAATGATGCTCCAATAAAATGTAGTTTTATTTCTTTGACTTACATATTTAAATATAAAATGTGTTTTTATTTCTTCATAGTATGCTAAACCTTAGTGTTTATTGGCTAGTTCACTGTAGTTCTCTTTATTGTTTAATATAGAAATATAAATGGACTTTTAAGTATTGAATTAGGATTATTCAAAATGAACATTATATTAAGAAGAAGATGTAATAGGGTTTTTCAGGTAGCTACATGTATATATTATATCTGTATGTAAACCTACATACTATTCAAATACATATAATATTTACATATTCATATTTCCATAGTTTAGATAGAAACAAATGTTCTCTAAGTACATTTTTCATACAATCTATAAAATTACATTGATGAAAAATATATATTTAGATTTATTTTAAATATTTATTTGCGTTGCTACCTAACTTAGTCGTAGAAAGGTGTCTTATCTCAAAATGGCTTTCATGGTTTCAGAATTCTTGTTATATTTATTTTAACAGAAAGTTATTTGGAGGTTAAAGCATAATATATTTGGACATTTAGTTTTAAATGCTCTTAATTTTTTTTAATGAAAGAGTAGGCAAGGCAAATGAGGAAATGAATAGACTTTATAATAGAATTATTGTAATGAGAGACAAATCATTTTGAAGAATTTGACAGTTTGTTAAATAACATATTATCAATATTGGGTATTAAATAACAAATATATAAGAAGAATAATACTAACCTTCTTCAATGATTACTATTTCCCACAAAGTTTTAGGGTCCACTTACTTGGTCATTACTATCCTTTGTTTCTTTTTAGTGCTGCTCATTACATTGGGTGTTAACATGTATTCTAAGAGTAGAGAGAAAAAAACCCTGAAATTTAAATGCGTGTCTGCTGCCTTTTAACAATTATGTTAAAAAATATATTTGATGTGTGAAGATACTGCAATGGTTAGATAAAAATATTTTTGCATGATCTATGAGTTTCAATGTTTGTGTTAAGTATTCAGGCAAAGTGGAGAAAAGAATGAATTTGAACCTTGTTAATATGTAATATATAGATGGACAATACTTAGATGCATATAATTTATAAGTAAATTTGCATGTATTAAAAGGTTCATGCTTGAGATATTTTTAATAAGACACTGAGTATTTAAAACTGAGACTATTACTGTAATCTCTCACCTTAGGAGCTTGCATAATTAAAAATTATACCTAATTATTAGTAATTTAATCAAAGTCCAGCTGAACATTCATATAGGAAATGTATCATCATCAAATAATACCATTTTACATGTGAGCGAGGTACTATAATTTTGCAAGCATTTAAAAATCTTAGTAGATCCCTGATCAGTAATTACTTTAAAAAAATCCTTTCATGTATTCCTGTAGCAGTTTTAATTTGTCTAATTCAATCCATCAGTAAAATTTATAATGTCTTTTTACTGATTAATTTTTTTTTCAATCTTCCAAGACACCTGAATAATGTTCTTAACTTTTGTCTTTCAAGACTGTAAACTTCTTGAGGGCAAGAATCAAAATTTACCCTTTTTTTTAGTTTGTGTTTTGCAACATCCTTAACACCTTCACATAATAGACACTTAATAAATTATGTTTATTTGATTTGTGGTAATGTTAAGGAGGTAGCTTATCAATTTTGTGGGACAATGAAGAACCATTGTTTGAAATAAATATGTAACTTATTAAAAGTTGAATATCCAGTGGGATTTTTTGTGTAATTGTGAAAAAATGTATGAGGAAAGCAAACCCATTAAATCAATAGAAAAGTATTCATTCAATAAATATTGTTTCTAATATGTGCATATCATAGTCTTTCAGATTACACAAATTAGAAATTATGTGTTTCTTAATGTGTATATTATCTTTTCACTGGCAGTTTAGATTTTCTGTTAAATAGTTAATTTGCTCCCGAAATAAAGGAAGGCAATAAGTAAAAATTTTCCTGCTAGATTAGGGTAATGATTAGTATATATTTAACACATAAGTGAGCAGTTCTACGTTTTAAAAAATATTTCAATTTTAAAAGTACTTTCCAAAGTTAATTTATAAAATTTTGAAATAAAATTTCTTTTTTTCTTTGTTTCTTTTTTCCTTTTTTTTTTTTTTTGAGACTGGATTTT